TATATAATATACATATATATATATATATACACACACATACATGCTTTGGATTGGATTGGATGAAAGCATATATTTCCATTTTCAGATGAAAAAACATCATCTGGAAGATCTTTGGGAGTTTACCAATAAATGTGGGGTCCTGCAGGAATAAAATTTGCAATCATTGAGATAATCTGCATTTAAAAACATGTAATTTTGAAAATTTAGCAAATTAGATTAGCCTTGTAATTTCAATTTAAAATGTATAATTTAGTGTGTGACCTATAATTTTAAGTGGATATGAATTTAAAATTTTGGCCAAAATAGAGCAAACTGTAGTCATTCTTTAGTAATTTTGATTATTGACATTTATTAATTTTTATATGAGCTCACTGATTTTTCAAAACAACCCTAGCAGGTACGTACTATTTCTACATGTTCTCAATTCTAAGTTACAAAGTTGGGTACTTCCTATAATCAATTTTATGTTAATTTAATTGATTATTTTTCTTTTTGTTGATTCATAAATTAATGACATCTTAAATTTGATGAAATATGGTATAATTCCAATTTTATCAATAAGGAAACTGAAGCAGAGATGTTAAGTAATTTGCCCAAATTACACAGCTGGTCAGAACAAGAGCTGAGATTCAAATCAAGGCAGCTTGACTCCAAGATGCAATCTGTGCTCTTACTAATCACAATGCCTTATAATAAATGCCACAAATTGAAAACTACAGAGTCACAAATAATGGTGTTTTACACATTGCTGCACTCTTAAATATTTGAATATGGACATCCTCGGACTCCACGTTCATACTTCATACATACCATCAAACTATTCAAGTTCTGAGATGGCATACAGAGAGTAGTACAGAACCAATTATTCTTTGCACACCACTGTATGGATTTACCTGGGAAAGAAACTAATTTGTGCTTTCTTACCATCTACACTAGCATCATCCACCAGAATGATTTCCTTCAGCAGTATTGCGGGTGAAGAATAGAGCACACTGTGGACAGTTCTAAGCAGCGTGGACCACGCTTCATTATGAAAAACTATTATGACACTGGTGGTAGGCAAGGGAGGGCATCGCTTAAATTTTTGTTCAATACATCTAGAAGAAGCCAAAGTAGAAGAACAATTATAACTTTTATTATCTTATTTCATAGCTATACCATTGCTAAAGTTATCATTAATCTTTATCATCAAAAAATGAACAAATATTTTTTCTATAGGAAATAATTTTAACACTATATAAATGTAAATAGATCAAAACAAATTTTCACAAGATCATTCAGAGATTATGCCTAGTGACATAGATCACAATATGTTACTGTAAACTTTCTCAACAGTATTCAATTTTAAAAACAAATAACATTTTAAATAAAATATTACAAATGAGACCATGTGTAAACATAAAAAATCCTGTTGCCACCTCAAAAAACAAATTTTTAAATTTTCTTGCAAAAGTCACTCATTCTTATTTTCAATCCAAATTGTGCAACTTTATTTCTCATAAAGATTTTAAATTAGATATTTTCTTAAGTACAAAATGTGTTTCCCAAGTATCTACTATTTTCTAAGTTTATTTAATAAATTTTGTTTAATCTAGAAAGAACCAAAGGAAAAAAAAAATGATTTACCAGAAAACCTAAATTCTTATGATGCTCATCATTAGGTTAAAAAAATTTTTTTTAGAGATAGCGTCTTGCTCTGCAGTTCAGGCTGGCCTTGAGTCCTTGAGCTCACTATGTAGCCCAGGCTGGCCTCCAACTGGTGGCAATCCTTCCTACTTCTCAAATTCTGGGATTACAGGCATTTAGCACCCAGCCTGGCCAATTAGGTAAATTCTTAAGACCATTTTTCATATGTTTTTAAAACATGTTTGCCCTACTACTGAACTAATATCTAGCATTTCAAAATGTCTTTTTAACAGGACATATTTAAACATTTAAGATAAACGTCTAAACCCATATGAAAAGCCTTGTGCATCCATCACCAGCTGCAAGGTTGAAAGGCATGGAGAGAGAAACCCTATGTGCTCTTGACTCCTAGTGGTGTTAGTCATCGGCTGAAAACACTAGTCATCAGGTGGACTTGGATAAAGTTTTATAACAATGTCTTCCTCAAAGAAAATAATCTTTGTAAGCAACTAGTGTGTGAGTTAGTGTGTTAGTGGTGGCTCCTCACAGTTTCCAGCCTTTGAGACTGGAGATGTGAAGATCACAGTTCCTCAACCACTGAATTGAGGTCAGGATAATATGAGTGACATAGAAGAGGGTTTCAAAACAGCAGGACCTACACAAAATATAACCACATGTGGTCTACGGAAAAGATAAACAAAGCAACTGTGTTTCTAAAATCATTTAAATCCCATCATTTGCTGTATGATTTTGAACAAGACTATAAAATCCTCCTACATGGTCAAGTCTCCCCAGACAATAAAGTATGTGAAGAATCAAATAGTGGTACTCAAACCGAAAGACATGGAAGTGAATCATTCCCTCAGAAATGAGACACACTTCAATTGCTCTCTAGAGCCAACGGGTGGGCAGGAAGGACAGACAGCACCCTCTGGGGTGACAGTGTAAGTTCTCCTATTAATTACTTTATGACCAGATTCCAATGTGTATACGTTTGGAGTCATTTTCAAAGAGCAAGTCTTTAGGGTGGAATATATACAGTGAACGAGAAAGAGAAGGTATTAACAAAACTTAGAAGGAAAAGGAGAAGGGGAGAGCATAGATGGGAGTGGAAATGATTTCTCATGCCTTCATGATTTAAAAATGCAATACAAATGCACAGTCAGAAGTAATTAACATAATTTTCTTCATGTTTTGGAATAAAAGCAAATTATTCTAAATAGAATGTTAGATAAACTACCAATTAAAAGTAAAGTTCAAGTACAAATTATATATACACCTGAACCTCTGAACCATAATTACACAGAATTACTAAATATAAGTTCATATTTTAGCACCTAAAGGTTTTATAAACCAACATGAACTATGAATACAAGTTCTGAAAAACTCCATAATATAACATGGTTTTTGTTTTGTTTTGGTTTTTTTTTTTTTTTTTTTTTTAAGGAAAAAGAACCACCTCATAACTTATTTTCTTAAAGGCATTTTAGGGAGTAAATAGAATTTTAGGGTTAAAACTTTTTTTCCTATCTTTATTTGAAATGCAGTTAATATAATGTGATCAATAATTATAAAAAATTGAAGGTGCAAAATATAAAACTCACAAAAATGCATACTATTAAAATGCTGTCACTTTAATCTTGCACAGTTTTCTCTGTTTAAGACAATATTTATTTGCTGAACTGATATCTACTGATATTAACTGGTAATTAAAAATGATACAGTAGGAGGTGCCACAATAAAATATCACATTTATCATTAATGGAAGTGAAAATATTTCATGGTATAATTTCATTTACTTTGAAATAACTAGCATGATGTATTTATTCTTCTAAAATCATTTTACATATCACTTAAAATAGTGCAATTAATATAACTTGCCAAATATTATGTATTTTTCAGTCACACCATTAAAAATGTGTCATATAGAAATGTGCTTTAATTATTAATCACGGGACTTTAAGAGAAACTAGATCTGAACTAATGAGCTTATAAAACAACTAGCAATTCTTCAGAAAACGAGTTCCTTGTTGATATTGGTAACATTCAAAGTACAAAACAATTAATTCTTCACCACCTCTACAAACTCCTATCCAAAGTCAGAAGTAAATCCTGAAGTATAACAATATTGTTAAATGTGCTTAGTTGTTTTTCACTACTTGAAAATTAACAGTATTGAACGTTATTATAGCTTCTTAATGCTATCACAAAAAGCTCAGCTTCAGCTAATATTATTTCAAAGAATAAAAATCATGCTAATGATTTTATGTGGACTGCTTTCAATCAAGACCCCTGCCAAAATCAATAAAATGCACTACTGTATTTGTATCTATTAATACAAGAAAGGAATTATACCATGATCTGTTATGAGAGCTAGAATATTTTATAGACATCATTGGATTTTTTTCACACATTAATTCTGAGCAACTTGACTTTAGAATAAATGGATTAAAATACAGTGACAGAAATCTAACCTACATAACTGTAACATTAAAGGATTCATATAATGGAGCAAATGTTCATAACCGTAAATCTACAAAAATCTAAGTAAAACAATACACCATTCTATGAAAACTCTTTTCTTCAGTATGGCTGCCAAATGTAATCTGTCATAACCAAAAACCAAAATACACAGCATGGTTTGCTTACTGTTTGCCTATTTTGGGCTCACAAAAATCCACTGATCGCTTGAGGGTGCTGGAATTCATTTTGCCTTTGGAATTTAAATAGAGCATTTGAACATTAAGTTGTAGATAACAAAATGGTTAACTAAGGACACAGAGAAACAATAGTAGAACCTGGAGGGAAATATCAATCAAAACACTGTATAGCAGAGACAAACATATACCAAGTAACTCGATGATGACAAATGTTGGCTTCTCTGCAGCTAAAGGAAAACAATGCTACAGATATGAAAACTTAATCAACAAAACTTGAAACACAGAATCATGGTGGAAATAATAATTGTTAACACCATTCTGCCTTAAAGGAAAGCTTACAAAACATAAGGCATTTGGGGATATAATTATATACTGAAAAGAACCACAAAGTCTGGGGCTTACTTTATAAATCCATAAAATTATATAACAGCTCCAAAATCTTGGCACATTTCTATTCTATAGAAATCACAAAGAAATGAAAACAACTCTTCCACCTCTGACATTTTCCATAAAACCTTTCTTGCTAAATAAATGAAGAAATTATGACACGAGAATAAAGGATTTTCTTGTACCTAAAAGTCAAATGTAGAACTCAGTTTTCTAATTTCCAAGCTAATAACTTCCTCTGGCTGCCCGACCTCACCAGCCAAGGTATCTACCCTTGATGAGAAGCAATAATAAATACAACAGATTGAATAAACAATATTTGCTGTTTTTCTGCCTCACAGCAGCTGAAAAGCAAATTTCCTAACGAATGCCTGTCCACCAAAATCTCTGGTGACAAACAATAAAGAAAGAATATTCTTCAACGTACTCAGGAGGTCGGGTGTCAGGTCCAAGGTCTCGGTGTAAAGAAATCCTGTCACTTGCAAAAGCGTTAAAACAGTGTTTTGCTTCCCCATGTTCTTTTTCCTTTTGCTCTTCAATACTTAAATTGGTTGTCTTGAAGGCTTTGCCGGAAGCACCAGGTGCATTAGAATCCTGAGGGGGGCGGTCAAAAACAGGTTTCAGCTCTGCCACTGTATAATATCCTTGAAGACAGGGTCTCTCGGGAGCACCAATGCTTTGCCTGAGGGGTGCTCCTATTTGCATTTTTGGCATTACATCTTTAATATTGTTTACAGCTTCTAGCATTAAATCAAACACCTTGTTTTTGTTTTTCAGGTTTCTTTCCATCCTTGATTCCTCTTTGGAATACTGAACACTTACTTCTCTTTGCATTAAAATCAAAATTATTATAAAGAAAAAAATTACTCCACCAAGCTTCCAGAACATTTTGCGGCAATGTCTTTTGATATGTAACTTTACTAGTCGCTTTAGGTGAGCCATTCTGCCATCAATCCTTGTTTCTTGACAAAGAACAGTTAAGATTTCCTCTGTTGCTTATATTTTTTATCATAGACTTGCTGGTATGAAAGTTTCTTTAAACCATAATACCTATAAATAGAAATAATTGATGTCATTAGTAGCTATTCATTTCTGGGCATGATATAATTCATTCATTCAACCAACAATGTACTCTTATGATTAATAAGAATACAAAGATTTTTTGCCCTTGAGAAAAATTACACTTTAGAAAAAACAATTGTGTAATTAACTATAGTCTGTTAGGGTTGCAAAATATTAAGGCTTTCTCTCCAGTAAAAAATACATATTTTATTGGCCATGGTGGCACATTCCTATAATTCCAGCATTTGGGAGGTTGAAGCAGAGGATCACTGGGAGTTCAAGTTCAGCCTGGGCTACTGAGTGAGTTCCAAGCCAGCCTGAACTACAAAAAAATCCCCCCAAAATAAACATCCCAACCCCCACATTTTTATTAACTATGGTAACATCTACTATATTATATACATAAAATTATTTTACAAGCATATTTTAAGTTTACAAAAAGGAATGTCTTAGCTTGATAACCAAGGAGATAAAGTACTTTGTTAAGTGGATCATAAAATGTCTGGGTAGACCCACAGGAAAGCAAGGATATACTGGGCAGGCCCAACCAATCATCCACCTGTGCATGATGTCATTTGTGCACTTTGCCCTTAACCTGTGAACCACCACACCAACTAAACCAAGTAAAATAATAAATAAGCATGCATTCTGCCAGATTTCCTCACCTGATAGCTGTTGTGAATCCTAACAGAACCCATAAAAAAAAACAAACTAATTTTATCACTTTATTTAGCTTCTCTTTCAAAGTTATCATTAAATTTAAAATAAGAAAAGCAAGTTCTAAGGTGGATTCTTCAGCCTTTTATAGAAAATTTTAAGCCGAATAAACAAAATTGGCAGAACTTAGTTCTTATACTAGTTCTGATTGGAATGCTCTATATTCTTTTTCATATGGAACAGACAATATGGCTCCTAAAAATACTTCAATTATGATATACATTCCACATAAGAGTGAAATTCTAGTATTTTGAGCTTTCATTGTTTTAAGAACAGCATATAAAGAATAAAATAACCTCTTACAATTTTTCCTTTCTTAAAAAAATTCACATAAAGAGTCACAGAATCATAAAATTATAGTTTGACGATTTCTTATTTTTCAAATGTTGTTCTAGGCCGCGGCTACAACATTAAGGTAGCCCTTACCTTTACGAAACAGGGACTAGAATAAAATCTGGCAAATCAGGCAATAGAGCAGTGTCATATGTACTAGGACAGGGAGACTACAGAAACAACATGGAGGAATGGAGAAATCTTAAAATAATTTCCCAGGGCTGATAATGTTCAACAAAAACTTGAAAATAAGTAAATTTTAGGCAGGTGGAGGAGAGAGAAAAGCAAGAAGAAATGGTGGTTCCTAAAGAACAGAAGCAAGAAAAGACATGGTTATCCCTGAATACCACAGAGATGGGAGGTACAGGTAGGAAGTGGCAGCAGAGCATTCTGGGAGGTCAGTTAAAGGGCCAGTTCACTGAGAGTGGACCACATCCTCCAATGAAATGAAAATTTACCAATTCTTCCCTAAATGAATAGAATGAAAAGAACTGAATGACTTTAAAGCAGGACCATAAACTAGAGATTATAGAAATAATTCACAAGTTGCCACCTCTAGTGAATATGATACTGAAGAGATAAGGGGTTCCTTATCTCTTCAGTATGAAAAAAGTATGGAAAAGAATGATTCAAGACAGTATAGGAAAGGGATCCAAACAATAGTACTTGGTTGAAAAAAAAAAAGAAGAAGAAGAAATGGGAGATGGATGGATAAAGTGAACTGATTAACACAGGTAGGGGATTTTGCCTGGTGGAACTTGCTGGAAATTTGCTCTCAGGAGTCCCAGCAGAGAATATTCATAAAGAAGTACGGATTCCTAGAACTATGTAGATAAAGTACTGAGAAAAACTGCTGGCTGCTGGAGTCAGAGGGGCTATCATCCATAGCCAGTGCATTTTTCAAGATGGCTCTGGACTGGGTGCCACCTGGAAGGTCAGACAGCCAGCTCTCTAGACACCCAATCTTGTAGAATTGCCAGTGTGCACATGTGGGTCTTGAGAGAGAATTTGAAGAAACATGGCCTGGGCTGCAGAGCAGATCCATAATGTCAGTGGCTTCAGGACACAACACAACTGCCCAAGTCAAGCTCTGGGGAAAGTACACAGGGTATGGGGTGCCAACTCTCGAGGAAACTGTGCTCTATAGGTATTGTAGCACTGGAGAAAATCATGTGAAGAACAGAGCAGTGGAGAAAATATATACCCAGGAAAAACCTGGCCAGTGAGCAGCTCTGAGACCAGGAAGTGAAGGCCCTTTCACCCTCAGGATCCCTCCAGTGTTAAATCCTGTTAAATCCTTTGTTAATGGGACTTAGTATTGTGCCAGTGAGCATAGGAGAAATATTTACAAGGCCCATATCCATTACTGCAAAACAGGCTAATAATTAGATCAGAGAAATAATAAATTGATAAGCAACATAATCTACCCTTTCAACTACTCAGCTTTTCTGGTCCACCTGGGGTCTCAATATTGGTCTCTGAGATTAGGAACCCATTAGCAGTGCTGGTCATGTCACTTTAGAAAGAAGTCATCAAACATCCCTGAGCCAACACGTGCATAGCCTTCATTCCTGCCATCAAGGCAACTGTTCGGAGGTCCACTGAACAAGCACTCAGGTGGCTAAGGAGGAAATCTAACATCCCTCTCTGAAGGAAAAATAAAATGCTTTGGTGGGCATTTAGGTGGGACACATTGCTTTCTAGGTTCTGACCATTTTGAAAGATACAGCTATATATCCTTGAACTTCTTTGTCACCACTCTCCCAGTCCTGTCCTTTCAGGATCCTGGCCATACAAATGATTCACCACTTCTTATTAACAAATATAGATCTGTACTTCTAGTTAGCTCTTCCAAAAACCAAAGACAAACAAACATATCCACTATTCAAATTTATGCCTACTGGAAGAATTTTCCTTTCCCCTGTTCTTTACAATTATTTATAGGTAGGTTACTGTTCTGAAGCTGTCCACTGTTGGGTACTGTTGGTATATTGCACAGCCTCATCTGCAAATCAGTCTTGAGATTTTTTTCTTAATCAGGAGAACTAAGAAAATCCTTAACAAGCCACAAGGCATGGGTTGAAGGAGACAAGGAGCTAATGTTTGGATAAATGCCCTCTTAAATTCCACGTGTTAAAAGCTGGGTGTCCAACATTGGCTCTATTTAGGGGAGATGGAATCTTTAAGAGGTTAGTTCTAGTAGGACTTCTAGACACTGGGGGTAGGCCCTTGAATGGAATATTGGAACCCAGCCCTTTCTTCTTCCTCTCACGTCCTGGCCATGAGGTAAATGCTTTTGTCGCATGTTGTCCCGTGATGTTGCTGCCTTGCCTAGACTGAAAGACAATGGTACCAAACAGTAATGGACTGAAGTCTCCACAACTGTGAACCAGTGCACACCTTCCATATTTCAAGGCGAATTATCTCAGATATCTGTCATAATGATGGAAAGCTAACAAAAGGAAATGTAACAGGAGTTAGTTTTGAAGGAATTGGGTCTACTTGCTCAGGTAACTGGCATGTATTTTCCCCATTTTCTCAGGCTTCTTTTTCATAGTCCATTTCTATAATAGATTGCCACTGTGCACAGATAACCTACAGCTAGATCAGTCAGACAATATCCATTTAGTGACAGGAAGCTTTGTCTACATGGAAACTCCTGGTTATGCATTTAGTATCTTCCTAGTGGCAACAGGAACTGTTTATCAGAGAGTCCAGTGTTATCTGAAGATGGAATATAATTATTTCAACATCCTAGCACTCTTTAGTGTGATTCTGGTATTGGTATTGGTATTGTTCAGAGCCTCTACAGAGAGTACCTATTCTCTAAAGATACTACGAGAATCAAAGAATTTGTTAGAGTCAAAAGCTGAAGTGATGTAGAGCACACAGTGTGTCTTGGACTTACTGCACATCCTTTCTTTTGCTCTGGTCATCATTCAAAGTTGACAGCCTGAGTTACTCTGTACATAGGTTGAAGGAGCATATTCACATTGATACATCCTATCTCCAAAATCCATAAAGGTCTGTTGTCAATCCAAAAAGAAACAGTGAATGCCCAGAAATGTTAATGAAATTGCATGTCTCCGAAATTTTATTTATCATCCTCTAGTCTTCATGTGTTTCACTAAGATATCTAAAATATTTGCTATATTCTTCTCAGAAGATACAATCAATATAACATCATCAATATAGTAAATCAGTGTGATGATTCATGGAATGTTAGTATGCTTAAGACCTCTAGAACACAAGAACTACCTAGCCCTCAGATAAGACTAAAGATACACTGTTGGCCCTGTTAGATAAAATCAAATTGCTTTCAGCAGTCCCTTTAAATTGGCATGGAGGAAAGGTATCAGCCAAGTAAATGGCTACAAAACCAATGCCAGGGCTGTATGATTTAAAGAAGATATTATGTGTAGGCTGACAACTGCACTTAAAGTCACTCAGTGATTAAGTTTATGATAGTCCACATTTCCTAAGATTCACCCAATTTCTGCACAGGCCAAATAGGTGAGTTAAATGGGGAAGCATTCCTATATGGAATGTGGCATCAACCTCAGTGATTTCCTCAGGGATGATATTGCTTCTGATTTTTTTTTTGTTGTTGTTGTTTTTTGGTACCAGGGATTGAACTTAGGTCCTCGAGCTTACGAGGCAGGCGGTGGCACCACTGAGCTAAATCCCTGGCTACTTCTGATTTCTTATCTTAGTGATGGGGCTTCTAAGGTCTTTACCTTTGCTGTCCTATCACATGGTCTTCATCTGAGAGTCAACAGAGATTGTGCCAGTACTATACAGTGTTTCTACTCCAATTATACATTAAGGACATTAAGGAAGTGCGGAAATAAGCACAGAGTGCATTTGCTGGCCATCAGGACAAACTGAGTCTAACTCCTCTCAGTTTGAAGGTAAGTTGCTCCTTTATTATTTCCTTT